TAATTAAAGTATTTTTCAATCATATTTAAAATAAGCATATCTTAGAATAGTAATCAAAAAAAGAATTCATCTCTTCTGGATTGAACGTTTCAAAACACCTATGTTTCCATTTGTGGTGTCCCTCAAAAGTTCCTCCGGGACACGCGGATTTTCCATCTCCAACGGCCGGTTCTCTCGCCTCGGTTGCGCTTCAAATCCTTGAGAAGCATACCTTTTGATCCGCCAGGTTATCAATATCCCAGAACAAACGCCGATAGCTGGAAGAGCGTACGAAAGCATGCTGCCAGAATTTCCTTTCGAATGCGCTGCTGCACTGGTAAGGCTGCCGATGGAAGTGTTTTGAAGTATCATAGGAAGCCCACCGACAAGAGTTGGCAGAAGAAAGTCGACGAAGAAGCCGACGTTGGTGGCAGCCAGGCCGTAGTTGATCACGTAAGATGGAACTGGCGAGAAGCGCGCGAGGAGAACGAACTTCCAGCCATCTCTCGCCACACCATCTCTTATGACGCTGAAGTATTTGTTCTTGCGCACAAAGCCAGACAGAGTTTCCGAGCTCCGGAATAGCAGTCTGCAAAAACATAAGGCTAGAACTATAAGAAGAAACTAAGGCAAGAACTAAAGAAGGAAACAAACCATACAAAAGCCTTGGCTGGAACAATAAGAAAACGAAGGCTAGAACTAAAGAAGGAAACAAACCATACAAAAGCCTTGGCTGGAACTATGTGAAATCTGGAACTATAAGAAGCAAAAAATAAAAAGAAACAAGAAGGCTAGAACTAAAAGAAGGAACCTTGGTAGAACTAAGACGAGAAAAACATCCAAGGCTAAAGCTAAGAGCATACCTTCCAAGCCAGAATGCCAGAGCAGCTCCCAAGACTTTGGCCGAGAAGACACAAGCCACTCCATGGACGAATCCAAACAAGAAGGACGCGGCGGCCTCGAACAAAACCGCGTAGGGGAAGCACGTCGCGATGGCGAGGGTATGAGCCAGCACAAACACTGGCATTGCCCATCTTCCAAGGCGCTGGGAGACGCCCTGGAGAGCTTCAAGCATAGCCTGCCGATCGCCATTGTAGGCGTACAAGATCGAGGCATAGATCCCAGCTGTTGCGGTGGCGAGCGCGAGGAGAGTAAGCTTGGCCCCCTGCGCCATCAAGAACCCTAGAATCCGCTCGCGAGCGGCGCAATGCGAGGCCGATACCGCTACCTGGGGTCGATTTCCGCCGAGAAATCGCTCGATCGGATCGTTAGAAGCTCGATCGCCAAGAAAGAGAGGATCGCCGCCACGCCGGCGTGACCGAGAAGAACACGCAAATAAACAAGCGCGCTGCGAATATCCAATATGATGCTTTCTAAAGCATATTCTTCTAGATAAAAACTTAAGCAAAGATCGCTACCGTTGATTTAGGGCACCATGGATAGCTTGCATTTCGCGCTGGGAGCTCCTCTATGGCGGAGCCCAGGGTTTCATCGATTCAACCGGCGGCAATGGCCGGCGCTATCGAGAGATCATCTGGCACCACCTCGCTCGGTCGTGGCGAGAATCGACGCGGCTCAGAGCGCGGATGAGCTCCAGGAGCAGCTGGCCGCGCTCGTGGACGAAGCAAGATCGGCGAGAATGCGAGGTAATCTCTGTGTTTACTCGGAACGGGGAAGAAATTTCTTCCTGTGAATCCAGCGGACAAGGCGCGGGCAAGATTTATGCGGCTAACGGAGAGTGTTGAGCAGATGAATCTCCGCGCCGCGGCGGAGATTAAGGCCGGGAATGAGGACTCGGCCAGGCAGCTGATCAAGGAGAAGAGGAATGTAATGGCTGCGCTAGAGCTGTCCAAGAAGCGAGCCGCGTTATTGGAAGAATTCGCGACAAAGCTCAACCAGGTATTCTTCTTATCATCTTTACAAGCATAGAACATCTCTTCCTTCTATTCTTACAGGTTATTTCTTTGAAAGAAACTCGTTTGATGGCGTCCCTATCGTTGGGAGAGCTCAGCGATACGACGACCACTTCCAGTGTGCGAATTGTTCCTCCAAAAGATAGAGTGCTGATCGTCCCTCCAAAAGAGAAAGAAACTGGCAGAGACGATCAATGTAGCAGCTAGTTTGGCATCACCTCCGCGTCCAGGACCTCGGGGCCCAGCCTGATGGCATTGATATAATTCACGGGGCTGTGAGCGGCGATTCCCGGGAACAAGAGACCAACCAGCCGAAACATCGTCGACGCCAACGTCTCTTTGTAAGCTTCACCGAACTTGTAGCGCAAGAGAAGGCTCTGGAGGAGCTCCCAGGTTGCGACGGCATGGTCGGGAAGCAGCTGGTTAGTCGACAAGCTTTTCGCTGTAGGCTCCTCTTGGACGGTCTATAACAGCACAAGTCAGTGAAGAAACACGCAGAGGCGATCTTACCTCGCCCCCGTAGCTGCTGCCGTAGAAGAAACAGGGTCCCAGGTGCTTGAACTGGAACGCTAGATCCTCGTACGGAAGGCGAGGGACAATATCGTTGGAGTAGACAACTCTGAAGAATCGGTTCTCCGGATGGTTGAGGTTGACGGTCACGTCAGCAGCGAATTCGGTATCGCCAGCTTTGGGCTGTCCAAAGGTGTAAACTCCGGCCAGCCTGCTCGTTACTTGGTTCTCGTTGGCGTGAAAGAGGAAGGAAGTGAAGACGGTAGCAAGCGCGCCCCCGAGACTGTGGCCGGTGATATAAACTTTGGCCTCCTTGTGAACTGCTAGAAGCTCCTTCAGCTTGAGACAGGCAGCGTCGTAAGCGAGAAGGCGGCTGTTCTCCGCGGTGCCAGCTTCGGGAAGGCCGGATAAAAATGGTCTCTGCCGCTGCTTCCCCGGCTCTTCGCCGGAAGTTTTCTTCTCGTCGTCCTTGTCCGAAATGGTATTGTCCGACTTCTCGTCATTTTCAAGCTCGTGATCTTCTAACGCTTCCTCGGTGCTGTAGAATTCCGAACCATCCCCACCAGTATCAAAAGTTCTTGCTTCTTCCTCGTGATCGGGTAAACTCTGGTGCTCCGCTGCTTCATCGTCTGACGTGGTCTTTTCTTTCGAAAGCTTGTCAACGATGTTTCGCCTGAGCCTGGTGAAAGTGGCCATGTCCTGTCGATCCACCAAGCTGAGAGCCTCAAGGCAGCCAACGTGAACTCGTCCTATTCCAGGGAACTCGTACCACGAGAAATCGAAGCACGAGCTCCAGTCGTAAGCGTTGAAAGGCACCAGTCCTTGGAAAGCTACGATGATCGCCTGGGCATTCTCGGCTCTGTCCATCGCGATCATGAGCCGGGTGGGCTTGCTTGGCTGATACTCTGGCCGGAACAAAAGCACGGAAGAACTTACGTTAAGCTGCGCAAGAACAAGAGCTACTTACTGTTGATACACTCGAAGACATCCACGGCGTGCATCTATAGATCAAACAGGAATAAAGTTTTACGAGCTCGCAAAATTTCCTGAGTTCTCACCTTCCAATCCTCGGTGACAACTTTGGCTATAACTTGAGAGTTCTCGTACGCAAGCTTGGAAGCCATCATACAAACGTCGGCGATGAGCTTGGATGCTGGGCTCTCGCTCGCAAAGAAGCTGCTGTGATTCCTGAATTCGTCGCAGCTCTGGTGGAGTAAGAGGTCTGTGCGTGGATCGAGCAGTCCTACAAAGCTCCAGTATTCATCGGACTCTTCCACTGGAGTTGCTAGGCCTGGAGAAACAACGATTTTAGAGAAGAGAATCTGATGCGAGGAGAATTTACCAGTTCCAGTGACGAGCTTCATTCCCATCTTGAACAATCCCCCATTCACATGAAAGATATTGAGCCAGAGCTCCACGAATTTGCCCGCCATGGCCAGGCCCCTGGCGATGGCGAGCAGCAGCACCATCATCCACATCGCGAATTTCGCCTGCCAGCTGCTGTCCACGGCCTCCCGAAGCGATGGCGTGCAGCGCATCGACGGGGCCGGGGCGTCCGGGAAGAGGGAGAGGAAGACATTGAGCAGGCCGCAGCCGCGCGGATCGAAAATGGCGTAATTCTCGCCCGCCGCCGCCGCCGCCTTGCGAGAATCCGTGACATCCATACCTCTCCAGGCGCCGATCGGTGGGAGCGATGGATCATTCTCGCTGCCCTTGACGACGGCATCCCAGCTTTGGGCGCCAAGAAAGAATCTCTCACGCTTCTAGGGCAAAATCGCCTCCAACGTGGCAAGACACGTGGGCTAGTCATGCTAGGGTTCTTAAACGACGGGGTTCGATTCCCGCCCTTTTTTTTATCACAAGTCTCTTTCGCAATAGCGCTTCCATTTACGAGATGCTTCGACAAGGGATTTATTTTGGATCCCTCTTAGCTCCAAATCATCCTAGGCGCTGTTCTTCCCTGCCGCCGCTGCTTTGGCGCCAGAGAAGCTCGAGCATTGTGGCCATGGTAGCAACAACAGGTATGAGATTTTGCAAGGTTTCGATCGATGTGATGTGAAATTCTTTAGATTCTTCCAAGATCGTTCCCGTTCTTTCGATCTCCGAGGTTTGTGTGCCTTTTCGTGCTGGATCAATCTACATTTGGCTATTTCAGGTCACCGAGAGGCTCAAATCTCACTCGCACGATGCCCAGAAGACCTATCGAGCTATGTACTCGAGCCTCATCGATGGAATTACGACCGATCCCGCCGCCATGGTGATCCCGATGGACGATCATATGGTCCATCGCGGGCATGGCGTCTTTGACACCGCAACCATCGCTGATGGGTAAGAACTTCCTTCTTTGGCTTTGTTTTTCTTCCTTGTGTCTAGCAAATTGGCGCTCTCTTGCCCATTGTTCATTGTCTCTTTTCTTTTGTCCTGAGATCTAGCTTGTCAACTCTTGCTTGTCTTCGTTGGAACTTTCTTACTCGTAGAACTTGTTTTTTCTCCAACAGCTACTTGTATGAGCTTGACGCGCATTTGGACCGGTTCCACAAGTCCGCCGCTGCGGCGAAAATTCAACCACCGTTCGACCGTGCTACCATGCGAGAAATTCTTATCCAGACGGTGGCAAGCTCTGGCTGTAAGCTGGGATCACTTCGCTACTGGCTCTCAGCTGGACCTGGCGGATTCGGACTATCATCCTCCGAGTGCACCATGTCGACGCTCTATGCCGTGGTCCTGTCCTTGCCCGCTATCCCCGATCCCGACATGGGTGTCACAGTGATAACAGCGTCCACGCCAATGAAGCACCCCCAGTTTGCAACCATGAAAAACGTCAACTATCTCCCGAATGCACTGTCGAAGCTGGAAGCCGAGAGCCAGGGGGCGTTTGCAGCGATTTGGCTCGACGACGAGGGGTTTGTCGCAGAAGGTCCCAACGTGAACGTCGCGTTTATCTCCAAGTCGCGAGAGCTGCTCGTTCCGGAGTTTGACAAGATACTGTCGGGATGCACGGCAAGGAGAACGGTAGCTCTTGCGCCGAAGCTCGTGGAGAGCGGAGTTCTTTCGGCCGTGAAAGTAACGAAGATCTCGCCGGAGCAAGCCAAAGACTGTCCCGAGATGATGCTCATCGGCAGTTCGCTGCCTATTACTCCTGTTGTCAAATGGGATGGGCAAGTCATTGGAAACGGTATGTGGAGTGTAAGAGTCGTCTTTCGTGTTCTTACTTACCAGTGCTTTCAGGTGAGGCTGGTCCCGCGACAATTGCTCTACGAAATCTTGTAGTCGATGACATTCTTAATGGACCGTCAGCCGTAAGAATCCCCGTACCATACACTGGTGAAGCTTAAAAAGGTGAGAGCTATGATTGCTACCAGACGGAACTGATTTATTCATAAGTTTGTACAATAATGTAACTTTTAAGTGTGCTTAGCTTGGCTTTGAGATAGGGTGTGGTTTGCAACACCAAACTGCTTGATGGTTCTCGCAGGTTCGTCCCGTTATGGAGTGGTATGCTGTCAAGAAAAGCTCGTATCATCAGGTACTCCTTTTTTTTCTAGTCGCAAACTGACACTTGTGGCGTTCTGAAGATTCAATGGAAACTCGGGCAGAAAAGAAGAATCTCGAGTTTTCATTGCAGCAGCGACCATTGCAAGTAGTTCTAGTTTCTCCCCAGGTACTGGGCTCTCCCTTTTTAATTTCTATCAGCACTTTAACATCTTGTAGATTCCTGGAAACACTGGAACTACTGCTCGAACTTGTGCAGCTGTACTAGCGGGGCTACATCTTGTAAAGGTACACGCAAATTTTTCTCACAATGCAATCTTAGTGCTAGTCTTGCTTTTTTAATCTGCACAGCCCCTTGGATTTTCTATAGAGGATTCCAAACTGAAGCGAGCTGGGCTTGATTATTGGAAGTAAGAAATTCCTTTCTTTCTCTGTCTTTCATTTCCCATGGTGGCAATTTTCAACAGGTATATAGTTGTCAAAGTTCACGAATCCTGGCCACATTTTCTGGACTATTTTAGACAACAGGTCTGTTTGTTTTCAGAAATCTCTACGAGTTTCATGTTTGCGTTATACAGGAAGGCGAGAAGCGTTTGATCGCTTACACAAAGACTGGGAAATGCTCCTACTTGGTAAGCACTATATAAGCTTTCCATTCGATCCAAAACTCCTTTGATTGGCAGGACATGAGCTACAAACCGGGGGACTGGCTTGTGTTTGGATCCGAGACCGACGGATTAGCTCCCGAGATCCACGAAGAGTGCTCCACTGGAGTCCACGCCGGTGGCACTGTCCGCATCCCAATGAACGATGCATTCGTCCGGTGCCTCAACTTGAGCGTATCAGTCGGGATTGGAGTCTACGAAGCATTAAGGCAGCTCGATCGAGGTAGAGCACTAGGCGATATAGAAAGTGAGAGAGAGCTGCCAAGAATGCTGGAAGACGCCCACGCTAGCGTGGATGGCTTTCCTTGAGAAACCCAAGAAATCGAACAGTCAAAGTCAACGAAGAATATTCATAGTCCATCTAGTCAACCTATTCTTTGTTCTGACAATCTCTTCATTCAATATTTATTAGTTTTAGGACTGCTCGATGCTACCCATGGCTGTATGCATATGATTCACGCAGCGTAGCTTGCCAAAAGCATCACGTGGAACCATCACGTGAATCCGAGTTAAGGATTGTGCCAAATCCTTGAGCGTGGAACCAAAGCGGTAAAAACTTACAAAGTAATTTCGAGTCAGCCAGATCCTTGTTGAGGTAGTAGACAAGAACTGTGAAAAGGGGACAAAAGGAAGAAAGAGCTTAAATATATCTAAGACTTGAGAGATTTCAACCTTCTGACCAGATAGCCAAGCCTCCACCCGCTCATGGCAAAAGCTTATAAAATCAAAACTTTTCTCCTCTGTTACATGTATCAATCACTCTATTCAATCTCACTGGCCACAAGATAAGGGAAAAGCTAGCATTAATTAAAATGATGCCGCCAAAATCGAATATATGTAGCTCGGTCAATGTTTTCTTGGGGGGCCTCTGGCCGTTGAGCTCAGGACTATATGTATGTATGTATGATCATGACATAGAGTTCCTGGGGACTAGCCACCTTCAAGATCACAAGTTTTATCGGTGTCAAACACGGCACATTGCGACCATGATCGATTGGGTGAAGAACATTCAGTCCACCTCCTCTCTAGTGATGACTCGGATCGTTTCAAAGCCCCATTGCCAATATTGCTATAGGAGATTTCTTGTCTAAACTAGAATACCTTTGTGCTGACTCCTACAAAGGCCATCATCATAAATAACATCCCTCGCTTGGACAAAAACCATCTCCCTTTTGAAGATGATGCTAGTTTGATGCCAAATAGCTCTCAAACAATTGAGCTTTGAGTGTTGCAATGATGTCAGAATACCATGGCTATTCATGGCTAACATAGTTGAGCACCTAGTCTCAACGAAGGAGGTTCACGGGGGTGCATTGTTAATATTGCTTGGTCAAGAACTTTTTCCAGCTGCCTACCTCTATCCACTTTCAATCTTGACGAGCTTTCTTGCTCTCTTCTAGCTTAGGAGAACCTTTGTGGCCCGCAGGCATCAGGCTACATATATAATTGAGAGCATGGCAGCCACTTTAAACGAGAGTGAGGAATATGTCCAGTTCCGTTCTTCCACTGACCATTAAACATTTGTTGTGTTGTCCATATTGTCAATGTCATGGATAGCCAATTGCTACAATATTCATTGTAGCCATTAACATCAACACACTTTGGAGATTAAAAAAAACTTATTTCACGTATATAAGTATTCAAAGGTCTCATTGGTGTGCATCCCTTCTTCTTCTATTGTTCTGGTACCATGGCACAATCTAAAGGCACTAGTGAGTGATAGCTTTTGAACTTGCTGAATAAGCTCATAATTTCGTTTGTGCATCTAGATGTGGCTCTGTTGTGCTAAAAGGTCCATTTCATTCATGCATAAATTGTTTATACATGGTCTCTCAACGCCCCAGGAAACATGAGCTCGTTTGGATTGTTTTTATTCATACTTAGATATGTTTCTGTATTGCAGGAGGGTCTATTACAGAAGGGACTCAAAAGGATAAGAAAGACATCCAGAGTGTGCTGGACAAATGGCACGATGATCTTCTTGATGATACCAACCGTAAACAGGTAATCTATTAGACTTTTCTATGATCACAATCGATGTCATTGTTATTCTACCAGAGAACTCTACTTGGTCCATTCAACACGAGAGATAGAAATAGCTCCTTCAACAAGGATGGATGGAGGCTTGACAGTCAAAGTAATGGTCCTTTTGTGAAGTTCCCTAAAGAAGATCCCAACACTAAGTACCAGAACTTTGCCATCCAGTGGCAAAAGTCAGTCTATTCATGTGTGGTTGCTCCGCTCGGCCAAAGCCCCCGACCTGCGCACGATCTTATCATAGAAGCATTCAATAAGAGCATGGCGGAGTTAAAAGTTGCTGTTATCAAGAGGAAGTCTGGAAACACTTGGGAGATAGTGATGGAAAAGTAATCTCCTGTTCATTACGTTTGTACTTAAAAGCATTATATTATATGTTTCATTTACAGCTCTCTGTTTTGCAAACTTTTCGACCCCATAGCCACCAAGAATCTCCCGCGCTCTTGGCTGCGACAAGGAGACTCCAACCATGATGGGCTTGATGGGAGACGGAGGATGACAAGCTTGCTCCAATGCTGGGCTTTTCAATCGAACCACAGCATGATCGATTTACAATAGCAATGGTGAAGAGAATGCCATATCGAGCCACTCCAATCACGTGGAACACGCTGCTGGCGACCTTATAACTCCTGGCAATGTCATGAAGGGACTCCCCGAGACTCTCTACTATCCAACACTCCCACTTATGATCAAGTGCTTGATCCACACCTGGATCTAAGGTTGAATAGCAAGGATGAGATGATAGAACATGGAGTTCATATAAAAAAACTCATCAATCAAGTTGTGTTCTTGGTCTTGTTCTTGTTTGCACACACTCTCGCTCACTATTATAGTTTCAATCTTGAGTTAATATGTGGTCTTAGCTTTGAACTGCCACACGTCCTCTATTAAGTGGCACTTGAATCTCCATACACATTCTTCCCAATTGCTGAAAATTTTTGCGAAGAGTTGTTTGTGAGTCTTGACAATTCTTCATTTTGCATACTGCCTTGATCTAGCACCTCAAACATCTAACACATCCAATGCCTCAAGCATCTCACATATTGCAAGAGGGATTGCAATCAAGAAGCTCACTCATGAACAAGTCATCTCAGATCTAGAGCTTGAGGGAGAGAGCTCTCTCCTCGGAGAGAGCTCCTCACACCTTGGATAATCTGTTGACAGTAAGTTTGCTCCAACAAAGCTGTGAGATATTGAGTATATGACAAAATACTTGCCTTCTTTCCCAAAGGTTGTTGGCTGGACTGAGTTCTACTTTGGCCACTGGGGGATCAATGATAACAACGTCATCATCGTCAATGAAAGTTTCCTCGATTGCATTGGTGTCATCCTTCTTGTTCCCTGTAAAAATAATTCTCACAAGAACTCTACCATCATCAGGATGGTAGAAGAAACCTTGCTGCAAGACGTAGCTGTATCTATGAATCAAATTTGAGGAGTGAAGATTATAGTCTCACCTATTGCATGTGTGTTGCATTCTACTCTGGCTCGTTCACTTCTCTACATAGCCCTTCTATGACCGACATTTGCAAGTTCAACTAGCTCTGCAGCTTTTCTCCACTTTCTGCTGTAGACCTGCACAAGCGAAAAGGAAGGCTACCCAAGACTGCATCCATGGTGCTATTGCTGTAGAGAGACCTCAACCCTTGCACGGAGGTTGAGGTGTTGGGTAAGGCATCTAGGGTGACTAACTTTCACCCTTTCATCCCCTAAAAAGATCCACCAAATATAGCTCCACACATCAGAGCAAGGCACTTGTCACCTCCCTCCTTGGGACCGAACCACCATCAAAATCTAAGAAAGTGGAGGAAATATCTCTATAGAAACTAAAGATGTGAATTTACATGCTCTTTGATGAACACCACTACCTGGCGCTAAATCCTCTCTAGAAAGGTGATCCTAAAAGATCTTCTATTTGAGATTGCTAGAAGAGGGGGAGGAAAAGAGGACTGGGAAGCTTCTGCTTAGGAGTTGTTGCATGATCCTAGTTTAGAATAACAATCTCCCATAGCGATGGTGATGGTCAATTTGACACGAGAGAGGAGGTGGATGGAATGTTCTTCACGGGGTCGCAATGTGGTGCTCGTGCTCCAGAGGATTTTGATAGCGTAGTCACACTGTGGTTGCTAATGCTCAAGAAGATTTCAATAGCATAACCACAGTGTGGTGCTCATTCTTGGGTTCAATAGCGGCATCTAAGTCCTCTCTTCCTCCCCCTCTCTGTTCCAACACCAGCGCCAGCAGAGCTCCCGGGATTAAAGGTATCTGACAGTGGATTCTTGACAAGTTGTCTTGGAATGTGCAGAATAACTATCACTAGAGTGGAGGTGGATGGAATGTTCTTCACCAAGTTTCAATGCGATTGGGTGCCGATATAACTTGCAAGGGAGTAATGTTCATTGTGATATGCAACAAAGATCAGATCAACTCACATCTCTAGTTCCAGAGACCTTTACTCCACTTTCTCACTCTTGACAATGATCTTTTCAAGGTAGAGGTAGACAACTACCCTGTTCTAACAGGTCCTCAGCTGTGGTGTAGATGGAGCTGGATGGCGCCCATGAGCATCTCCATTGTTTTGATGTGATTGTGGATCTTACTTGCTTCCTAAGTAAAAGAAGGTGGCGTCCTCCACAAATCTCTTAAACACACAAATCTCTTGAAAAAAGAAGCATGTTATCTGTATCGTCGTGATGATTCATGCCAAGCACATCGAGTGAGTGATCATCAGCTCCTCCTAGTCTTCCACTCGTGGAGCCTTGAGAGGCAACCGAGAGCACAGCAAGATGCCACCCCCATGATCGCCAGTGCCGGCATTACTCTCGAGGGAAATCTGGGCAGCCAGTGGACGATGACGCTGATAGCGACTGACGGCACTGCGTACAACGAAGCCACGAGAATTCCCTCGGCACCAAACTGCCCATCTGGCTCACGATGAAATGCGTGACCACTCCGGGGATGGATCAATGGCACCTGGTACAAGATGCTGAAAATGCCCCCGGAGATCACGAAGATGTAGAGCGTGATGGCCGCTCCACACCAAATCTTGGGATCTTGGAGGAAGGGAGCTTTGAGCGCTGCCGGGGAGAGGCACGCAAGGATCACGGCGGTGCATGCGAGCGCGATCCGTTTCCCGGTGGAGAGAGGCGGCGAGAATATCTCCCCGATTTCTATGCCGGATTTCGAGCGGATCGTGAGCGCTAGCTGCTGCGCGGTGCTCGATCGCGGCAGGACCTCGATGCCGCCACCGCTGGGTGGGAGATAGAGAACGCAAGGAATGTGAAAACCTGTGACGTTGAATCTATGGAGCGCGACGGGAGGAGATTTCGAGGCTTGCATGGACGCGAAGAAGATCGATGTCGAGCCGGCGTGATTCTTGAGAAAGGAGTAGGCCAGAGAGGAGAATTCGGACTGGAAGAACTCGTCCCTGCCGCTGGCCGCGCTGGAATCGAAGAAGAGAATGTAGAATCCCGGCCCTAGCCCCGATCTTTCGAGAATTAGCGACTCTAGGGAGGAATCCTGGAGCTCAATGACGCCATAGCTGGAGGCCGCTCTCAAGCTTGCGAGCTCCCTGACATGATCGTCTAGAAGAGCGCCCGCGGAGGCGATCGTAGCCATCAAAAAGACGAAAGAGGCGGCACACATTTTCTTGGTGACCTAAAAAAGCGCCAAGAATTCTTTCGTGACACGTGTAGTGTGTCTTGGTGTCACACGTGTACAGTATCGTGGCATAACACGTGGTGATGACGTGGATGTCCACCGTGGCAGAATCTTCGTTGGAAACCTAGATTGGCGTCTCCATCACTCCAGTTTCCAGTCGGGGAGTCAGGCGGTAGGGTAGGCATTCAAGGCGCAGAGGATTATTCTATGGCGCACCAGTAGGAGCATCTGATCTGGGGCATTGCGATGGATCATCATAAATGTGAAGGAATGAGCACAATCTCGAGGTACGAGAGCGATTTCCTGGCGATTTAGCTTGATCTGGGTTAAGATTTCGCGAGTATTCTTGCTGGAAGCTCGTTTCTTCGCGAAAATTCTAGCTCTTGATCTCGCATTTTGATTGATTCCAAGCTCGGGTATACAGGGATTCATGACTTTGCGGCCCGGATTTTGCTCGCAATGGGCAGCTTGGGAGGCTATGCCAAGGATCCAGAGACTGGAAAGCTCGAGAAGGGGGACGAGCCGCCCAAGAGGAACGACACGTCGTTGATAAAGTTGGTTTCCTCGTGACTTTAAAGTAGTAGCTTTTACGTGTTTGCTCTCGGTGTTTTCAGCTTGATTGCAGCTGTTTCCTATGGATTCGCGTCCTTGGCCATGGTTTTCCTCAACAAAGCTGTGCTTATGGAGTATCCGTATTCTATGTCTCTTCTCACGCTCCAGGTACCTTCATATCCAGAGACAAAAAACATTGACAGTGGTTTTTTTAATTTGCTCTTCTGTTCTTCCAGCAAGTTGCGACTGTCTTGCTGTTGCATCTAGGGGGCAGCTTTGGGATTTCACAAAGTCCACAGTTTTCTCTCAAAATTGCGAGAAAACTTCTTCCGCTGTCCTTTTTCTACAATGCGAACGTTGCTTTCGCTTTGGCGAGCCTTCAGGGAGTGAACATTCCAATGTATATCGCTCTTAAAAGACTGACACCACTGGCGGTTCTCGTGACCGACATTTTTACTGGCAAGGGAAAACCGGCTACACAAGTAAGATTTTTGCGCTAAATCTTTCACCGATTTGATTGATGACTAACTGTGTTTTCTTGTTCAGGTTGCTTTGTCAGTCATGACTACTGGTTTTGGAGTTCTTATCGCGGCTCTAGGAGATTTTTCATTCGATTTAGTAGGCTATGCATTGGCCTTGACATCGGTTTCCTTCCAGGTTTGCTCTTGGAGGTTTTAAAACTTATTGCCAAGAAAACTGATTTTGGTTTTCCTAGACTGCATATTTGGTGCTCGTGGAAAGGTCTGGAGGGGAGGACGGCATGTCCTCCACAGAGCTTATGTATTACAATGCTCTCCTCTCGCTTCCATTTCTGGCAGTTTTGATAATCTTCACTGGAGAAGCTGGCACTGCTCCGACGCTGCTTTTTTACAAGGTTCGACTTGTCTTGCAAACTAAAGAGTCTAATCCTGATCTCTTTTTTCTCAGATCCAATCGATTTACTTCTTTGTCATTGTTGCTCTCTCGCTGATTATGGGAATTGTCCTCAACTACACCATGTTTCTTTGCACAATCGTAAACTCTGCGTTGACAACCACGATTGTGGGAGTGCTTAAAGGAGTCGGATCCACGGTAAACACTCTGGTTTTCAATATTTCATAGCTCACGGCTTGACGCTTTGACAGCTTCTTGGTTTCATAGTCCTTGGTGGCGTAGAGGTTCACGCTCTAAATGTCGCTGGCTTAGTCATTAACACCGCGGGTGGAGTATGGTACTCCGTTGCGAAATTCAAGCGAAGGAAATCCAAATCTTCCAAATCTATGGAGGAGAAACCATTGATACAAATAGGATCAACCAAGTAAACGATTGATCACAAAAGACGATCGTTCTCTCAGAAAAAATACAAAGAATGGAGGTTCCTACCGGTTTTTATCGTGGATTTGGTCGAGCATGCTGGCCATAGTGCGTTCTTATGTGTCTTGTGAGATCCACCTTATATCCGAAAGAGCGCTCACAGCCAGAAAACCTGGAGAAAAACACGTTGGTTCTCGGGTTTTTGCAAACAAAATCGAGTTTTTCTTCTCTTACGTGCAGTGAAATGGCTTCTCTCCAGTGTGTGTTCTCTTGTGACCATTGAGTGAGTTGAGCCACTTGAAGCTCTTTCCGCAGCCTTCGAAGGGGCACACCAAGGGCCTGTCATCGCAGTGGGTCTTTTGGTGGACAACCTACAAGAGAGAAAACCATTTAATCCAGTCACTCCGAGCACTCGTACGACTTACCAGACGTTCGCGGAAAGCAAAGCGCTTGTTGCATCCTTCAAAGGTGCATTTGTGAGCTCTCTCGTGCTTTTTTATGTGTCGGCTCAGTAGCTGCTTGCTGCTAAACCGAAGGCTGCAGTTCTCAAAGCTGCAAAGGTATGGTCTCTGGCCACTGGAGATGTAAACAAACTAGATCATATACGAGAGAAGAAGAGTCAAGCGTGAACTTACTTGTGCTCGTTTAGATGATCTCCAAGACTTCCCGGTGTTGCAAACCGCTTGTTGCATCCCACGTGAGGGCAGTCGTGCGTTTTATCGATCAGCAGGAGCATTTTCTTCGTCTCGACGAGCATCTACGAGAAAAGAAGAACTGGAAAACAGTCAGACCACACAAAAGAGAGGATGAAACGCGAGAAGGTTTTCTACCTTCTCGTAGTGTAGTACAGTGAGCTCGTGCCACGGGATTCCAAGTAGCTCGGCCGGAAGCTCAGCTGCCAAGGCTGATGATTCCGCTAAATTTTGGAATGCCATCGCCAGTTCTTGCAATTCGCTGCTCTTGAGCTGCTCAAACCTGGAATTCAAAGCAATCCTTCAGCGAAAGCATAGAAAAGAAGAAGAAAGAGTTGCTTACTTCATTCGCTTCCACTTTGAAAGGTTTGGTTTCCGAAGGCTAGATTTCTTGCTCGAGCACTCCGGCCCAATCCTCGCATCCACTGCTGCGTTTACAAGAGCTTCCAAGCTGCCACCATATTGATCCGACACAACTTCCATTAGCCTCTGGTGAGCTGCATTGACTCACACAACTGAGAAAGAAATCCAAACGGAAAAAGAGAAAACGAAGAAAGAGTTCTTCCTAGTTTCTATCTCACGTACCGAAAGAATCCAGCCGAATGACCACTTGCTTGAGCTTCTTGCGTTTCTTCACCTTCTTCTCCACCACACTGATTGGCAACTCATCGCGCGAGATCGCCGAGAATGTGGCGGCAGCCGCAAGATTTAGCGCGGCGTCTTCCTGCGCGCTGTGGATCCTCTTCTTCATCGCAGCAGCGCTCTCTTGCTCCTCCTCGGCGTACCTCTTGCGAGAAGAAGAAGAAGAAGACGCGCCATTGCCGTCCTCTTCCTGCATTGTGGCACTCTTAAGCCCTAGATTGGATTAGATTAGGGCTCTTCAGGATGGGCAGCTTGGCGAGGCGCGCAGGGATCGCGATCGCCCGGCGCAGCGCTTGCATTTCCGCTCGATCGTACAGCAGCATCGATCGCGACATTGAAGAATTCAACCAGGTAGAGCAAGATTTCCTCCTTGAATCAGTCGTGATCCTGTGGAGTTTCCACAGGAGCTGGAAGAAATGTTTGGTGCTCCCCCTGCCGCTGCTGGCGCGCAAGGATTTCCAGCGAGAGATCCATCGTCCCAGAGCATCGCAGCTCCATCGATAGCTAGAGATCGATCTTCTTCTCTAACTCACTTCGATAGCTCTGGAAAGGCCTCGATGGTGGACGTCTCTCACAAGATGGACACCAAAAGGAACGCAGTAGCGTCCGGTAGAGTCCTCCTCGGGCCCGACGTCTTCCATCTCGTGGCCGCCAACAAGATCGCCAAGGGAGACGTCTTGACAGTGGCCAAGATAGCGGGCATCCAGGCCGCCAAGCAAACCGCGACGCTCATACCTCTGTGCCACACCATAGCTCTCAGCTCGGTGGACGTGATGATGGCGCTGGACGAGGAGGCTAGCTGTGTGGAAGTCACCGCGGAGGCTAGCTCGGTTGGCCCGACTGGTGTGGAGATGGAAGCTCTCACGGCTGTCTCGGTGGCTTGCTTGACGGTGTACGATATGTGCAAGGCTGCGTCCAAGGCTATACAGATATCCGGCATCGAGCTCGTGTCCAAGTCCGGTGGCAAGAGTGGCGACTGGCATCGAGAGAAGAATTGAAGAAGCACTGTAAGATCTCTCTTTCTTTTTTTTTTTTCGTTTTCCTCCTCTTGCTAATATGTCGAGCTTTCGATCCAGATGGATGATGTGCTATGGATTTTGTAGCAAGGTATCACAGTCTCTAAACTCGGGAGCATTCTTTTCCAGATAGTTCTCCGCTAAGTTTCTCTCCATTGATAGTGTGTGATCTCTTTATAAGCTAATATCGCAATCCAGGTGGATAACGCTGCTATGGCTTCAATCACTTCATGGGCGACGACGAACTTGAGGTGTGGCGGAGAAACCAGACCAACGCTTCCTGGCTGCTGCTCATTCTCCAGGTAACCTCTAGTTTCTAAATGTCTTTGATTCACATTGCACATACAGGACGCTACAGTGCAAGCCGAAGAGGGTCTTGAGGTTGACAAGAATCGTGAGACAAGCGGACAACGATGAAAGGGAGGTCCCTCCTCCTCAAGAGCAGGAAATCCTTCCCGAGAGAAGAGAAGAGACGCCGAAGCCTAAGAAGAAGGGTACGTCGTAGAAGGAGTTGAGAATTATCCTGTTGTTTAAGCGTTTGTTCACTGGATAGATGATGGCGAAGTCACGGCTCGAATAACTGGAGCGCTTGCCGTGCTTTTGGGGATCGCATACCTTGCTCTCGTCCAGATTCTGGAGAGACGAGGTGGGAGCCTCGAGCCACCACCTCCGGAAGCGTATCTTCCTTAAATTTTGAGGTTCTAAGCTCGAAGAATTGTGAATCACGATCTCTTCTACACAGTTTGGCGATGAGCAGCTTGAGATCGTGGAGCGAATGCACCTTGAAATCGGGTCGCTGGTGAGGAGGGAGCTCTTCAATCTTGTAGCGAAACAATGGATCCACCAAGCAAGTCATCGCTCCCGCGCACGCAACATCGTATCGCCCACCATCAAAACTTCGCACGGCTTGGCGCCCCACATCTCGCAAACGCGCAGTAGTGGCAGAGGCGACGGCTTCACGGCCGAGAACTCACTCCCAAGAATTGGCGAGAATCTGGAACCGGTGCCCAGCTCCCCCGCCTCGAAGTTCTTCGCGTCGCTTGTGCTGCTCAGCGTGATCATCCCGCGCCAGAGCTTCTTGGAGTCGATATAGCGGCATGCTTCTGCCACCCAGGGAGTGCGGATTTGTTGGACCTCCTAGCGTTTTCTATCGTCTGCAATGCCAGCTCCATTTCCTTTGCGGATGCGTAGACACGGTTGGCTTGCAGCGCCCGCAAGTCGAGCGTCCGGAGCGTTAGATCCAAATCAAGCACGACGCCACGAAGCACAGTGTAGCGGGTTACGGTAATTGGGACTTAACCTTCCATAGGTTCTTGGCTACTTTTTGAGGGCTAGAGCCAGCCTTCAAGTTGAGTTGGAAGTGGTGATTTGGGATGACGTGGCAAGGAGCTTGGTTCTTGAGAAGTGCTTGGAAAGAGAGCGGGGATTGTGAGAGGGCTGATGACGGGGTGTTCACACTTGATCTGAGGCTTGAGGTTAAATTCCTCCATGGTTTTGGCGGAGATGGGAAGTAAGGCTCCTCAGCTGTTAAGAATGATAGAGGTTTGCTTCTCATGTTAACCATTTACCTTCCTCATACATTGTTTTGAGGCAGTGATCTAAGAAATTTTAAGATTCTTGATGTAACACTCACAGATCTTTTAAGATTATGAGCTAAGAATTGAGAGAGTTGGGTTAGCATGACAAAGTCATGGCCAGAAATCTTGATGTTTTTGAGGTTGTGAGTTCAGAATTGTGTAAGTTGGGCTAGCATGATAAATTCATGGCTAAAAAGCTTGTGGTGTGGCACTGACAATTTTTTTAAGATTGTGAGTTGAGAATTAAAAGAGTTTGGCTAACATGATAAATTCATGACTAAAGAACTTCTGATGTAACACTCACAGATCTTTTGAGATTATGAGCTAAGGATTGAGAGAGTTGGGTTAGCATGACAAAGTCATGGCCAGAAAGCTTGATGTTCATAGATCTTTGGAGATTGTGAGCTTGGTAGAGAAATGGAGTGTGAAATGATTGTGATGCTGTGATGAAAAATTATTGCTTTAGTGCATAACACCCTGTGCATGTAAAGATTTGTGGAGTACTGATGTTGAAAAGGATAACTTGTGTAGTTTTCACTGAGACGAGATGGATAATTTAAATCAATATTTTGTATGAGGTCACACAATTTTAAAGTGGGGAGTAAGCGCTACAAATGTAGCAGGTTACGGTGGCCTGTACTTGGGACTTGACTAGTTAAGTTAAACAGAATTGGGATGCAAGGAGCTGGGTTCTTAAGGAGGAAGGTTCTTGACAAGCTGGACAGAGAGCAGAGGTGGCAATTGAGAAAGGGGCATGCATGGGGTGTTAACACTTGATCTGAGGCTTGAGGTTAGATTCTGGAGTCATTTTTATCCACAGTCCATTCTTAATCCCTGCAACAGCCTTCACATTCACGTACCTTTTTCCTAATCTTGCTAAATTGTTCCAAATGATTGTTTTATATTAAAGTTAATTAAAATAAAATAAAATAAATGATAGTTCTTCCTCCTCATTACTCTCCTCTTCCCCACTCTCCTCTTCATCATGTTCACCTAATGATGACACATTGCTACTGAAAATTGCTACACTTGGACTTATTAGGGTTTCTTCCTCCAAGGCTTCTCTTGTCAACCAATCTTGTGAATCATCTTCTTATCATCAACGAACCTATTCTCTTGCATCATCAAACAAAACACCCACAGCAGTGAGTCAGGGCCCTCAAGCTTGGAAATGTCATGAGGCTGAATGTACCCCTCAAACATAACTTGTGGAAACTCCTCTTCAGCATCCTTGTCCACATACCAAGCAATCTCAGACCACCACCGAAGTTGAGCTCCTTGCAAGAAAAAACCTTAGTAGCTTCCAATAATTATATGATGTTGAACTCATCCTTGATATTTACAGATTATGCTGAGTATGGAAAATGCCAGCACTAGAATTGGCTTCTTAAAAGTGGCACCATTCATCACTTGACATTGAATTGTTTACTTTTCCAGCAAATAAGCTGTAGGCAATTTTTAGTTTTACTAGTGGTGAGATATTGAGAATGATAACTTTTGGAAAGATTTTTCTTTCTACTATACAACATTGTCTTGGTGTCTAATAATTTATAGCTTTAGCATCAAAGACTAGCACATGCAAATTATAGATAGGTACTACTATTTTGATTTTGCATAGCATACCATCTTTGAGAGGATCAAACAGGGGAATATATAAGGATTGTCTACGAGTAAAGATGAAGAAAAGCCACTTCCAAAAAAAGCTAGGACAAGAGCGATTTCAATTTTAGATCTTATTCACATTAATATTTGGGGGTTTCTTTCCTTTAAACAGAATCAAATGCACTAAAAACTTTCCATGACTGGATTTGGCCAATAGAAAAAGAATGTGATTGATCAATACACGTGCTTCAGAGTAGATGGTGGCCAGGAACTTCTCCTTATCTTCATGAAGAATTTCCCTCCAGATCTCAGCGCCATACAAACATGGCCAAAATGGGATTGTGGAGAGGAAAATGCTCATAGTTCTTAATTCATCCCATATAATGCTCAAAGCTATGCATGTTCCTATATTTTTCTGGGCTAAAGATGTAAACATAGTTGTTCATGTCCAAAATATTTTTCCCACCAAAGTGGTTTTGAACAAGACACCAAAGGAACTTTAGACTAGTAATAAGCCTACTCTTTCATATTTACAGGTGTTTAGTTGTACAGAATATTCAAAGATTTCAAAGGAGGAACATAGAACAAAGTGGGAAGATCACTTCATAAGATGTATAATACTACCAAAGTGAATTCCACATGTGGATTTTCAAGCAGAAAAAGGTTCTAGTATACATGATGGTATTCTTTAAGGAAATGGTTCTAATGTATTCAATCTCCTCAACACGCAAAAAATCAACTCTAGGTATATTTTACCTTCAAATTTAACCATAGAGCTTAATGGATTGTAATGAATTTCCTAGTACAAAAACATCACTATTACCTTATAGACTACCACTTCCTTTAGAACCCCCACCAGAAATCCCCCACCACCACCACCACTACCACTGGAGGATACACACTAAACAACTCTATCACTAAAAGTAGTCAAATTAGTTCTGATATCATAAATAAAAAAAGTGAGCCAGTTTTTAAGATGCTCTTAAGTCATAGAATGAACTTGATGACTATAACACAGCTCAAGATCCTACACCTTGATGTTCAACATGAGCATGGAAGCCCACACAAGCAATCCTGCATTATCAATAGGAGAAACAAGCATTTCAACATGTTCTATTACTTTGGTTATTGATCTACTCATAAAGACTACTCTTCCTATCCAACAGTTTGTGAGACTTTGATCCAAGTTAGGCATTACATCAGCCAAGGGGGAGTAAAAAGCATGTGATCAGACCTTCAATCAAAATCTTATCAAAGAGTGTTGGAGCAAGACTAATTTAGTGGTCATACTAAATTAGTATGAAAAATTTAGTAACCACAATTTTTACTTTAAAGTGGTGTGGACTAAATTTAAAGTAGCCCATACTATTATAGTGTGGATTTAGTGTGGAAAATTAATTTATCACATTAATAGCCATTTGAAGGAGTTTCACTCACAACCTCTATAAGTCTTCATTCCAACTTAACATGTTTGCCAAGATCCCAAAAGTGGCCTCAAAGCCACACTACCTTCACACTTGATATAAGTGCTCTACATACCTAAGTCCTATCTTAGACACCTAAAAGTACTTTTGATATACTCTTATGTTAAAATCAGGCATTAAGTCCTAATAACCTCTAAAATTTCCTCACCATATAACTATACCTTAGGTTTTTAAACAAGAGGATTACTCTTTGTCTTTCCCACAGTTAAGGACTTTGGGATGATATTTTGGATCACTCTTTATCTTTTCCACAGTTAAGGACTTTATATTTAAAACACAAGCCTTGTGAGTACCCTTTTCACCTTTTGCCACTAGAGTGCCCTATGTAAGCTCTTGAATTTGGACTTCCTAAGATGTCACTCAACTTATATTTAAATCCAAAGACATTTAACCCTAAATATTTTAAAACTTTTAACTTATTGAAAAATGAGGTGCACTCTTGTTTATAAGTCTTTTCTCTTTATATTTCCCTATGGATCATCTCTCGAGTTGTTCTTTTTAGTTGTTTACAACCCAACCATGTGCCTAAAGCAAGGTTTTAATGAGTTACGCAAGGTATCCAAGTAAATAGTGCTACCTACTTGAATTGGGACCATTTGATTTCCTAAAAGAGTTAGAGTTAGCTCTTGAATACTTCACTAAGTCACCTCACTTATCCCACTGTGGTCACCAATGGAAACATGTTGAGTTTGAGACTAAATCCAAGAGTGAGTCCTAGACCAAGTTTGAGATAAAGTTTGAGATTAAGTCAAAGATCGAATCTAAGACTATATCCAAATATAAATACATGCCGTAGGATAAACACCCAAAGCAATGATCCACTGAGGGGGGGCATTGTTGTGGGGGATTCCAAAAGTATACTTAAGATAGTAACACTAAGGATTTAGTCTTGAAAGAACTCTTTAGTGGTGGTTAGTAGCTTTGGGTGGGAGTGAGCATAGATTTATAGATTTTACTTCTGAGTACTAATAAGTGCTAATAGTTGAGGAAGATATTCCCAAGATTATTTTTTATACATCATTTAGTTTGTATAAGTTTTTGGTGATGCCATTTGGTTTAAATAATGTTTCAATAACTT